TACGTTCGCTGGGAATTCTACTTATATTTTTGAATGGAAAAGTATCGCATTTTTCAATGTAATGTTTTGCCTCTTTTAAACACCAAAAGTGTTCGGCAAGCAGTGCAAGATAAAATTTTAATTCATCGCTTCTGGACGAAACACCTAAAAAGTAGTCAGTATAAAAAGGGGGAAGATTGTCTTTTATTAATAAAGATAAAATTCGCCGCCAAAAGCGTGGTAAGGCAATTCAGTTCTTACCATACTGCTCGTGCAAAGTTTCAAATCCAAACATTGTAGCACTAGGACAGCTTTTTCTTTGTCGATATTTCTGCTGTACATAGTACGAGTACTTCTTTAAAGCTAACTCCTAAAAAGTCAAATAGAATAAACTAGAATTGAAAAATAAAATTATCCTTCAATAATCCAAACTCACTGTAGGTTTCAATGTTAAGGAATGACGGAAAAGATCCATCGTATCATAGTGTTTTTCAGCCTCAGCAAGTATTGCCTAAAAAATTTCAGTGTAATAATCCAATTAATATTAAGAACTGTAAACAGCAAAAAAGTGCCCACCAAAGCACACCATGTTTCAGCTAACTCTGGATTACATTTTTGCGCCATATCGAGTGCCTGCCTTGCCAGAGAACGCTGAAATGCTGGTACCAACACTGTGTTAAGGCTGCTAACAGTTATATAAAAGATTTAAAAGCAAAAATTGAAAAAATTAAAGAATTTCAAAGTGTAGGATAAAAGCGATGTTTCTCCAACAGAAATTACCTCGTCATTGCGCAAATAAAATAGCCCAAGTAAACACCAGGCTTTATCATTTTTCCTATTTAACTGTAATGCCCTAACAAGACAGTGTTGTACGTGAAGCTTGTTCCCCAAAAGATCGACGGCATGTGACAAATTCGTCCAGTAAGTAGAGCGAACGTGTGCGTATTTACAAAGCATAATTGCACGTTTAATACAAATCCTCGCTCTAAAATTTAAGAAATGGAGACGTGAAAACTCAGATATAAATCATCCAATAAATTATTAAAAACTGACTTTATAGCTAAAGACGATTCCTTTGTTATTTTAGATTTCATTGTTAATGCCAGTCCCAAATCATTCCAGTATGCACCACACTTAGGGCACATCTTAACAAGAACACAGTAAAATCGAGATGCCAGAGTCAACGCATCTGTCCTCGTCAAAACAGCCCACGAAGAGGGAAATGAAAAGTTTTTGAAGGTTCTGACATGAAATTGCCACGATAGCATAAGACCATCAGCAGCAATTTTATACGACATTGCTAAGGTTTCATTTTTACATATAACGTCTTCAATAATAACAAAAAGCTGATTCAGTAATGCAAACTGTTGGGAACGAGTAGATTGTTGCGCCAGCTTCAATAAAGAATTTGCATGAAGAAGCGAAATACAATTCAAATAAAGCCGTCCTGAAGGACCATCCGAAAAAACTTCATAAATAGACTTGCAACGATCAACAGCTTCTTGTAACTGTCCAGTAGCGTGATAAATTTGAATCAGCTAAAAAAGATTTGCAGAGTTGAAGTTTTACACAAGATGCAATACACCTTACTTCTTCACTTCCTCTACAAAACTTAACCGACAGCAGTTATTGAAATCTAAAAAATTAGAGGAATAAAACTAGAGTGGTAAAAACTACATGAAGACCATTGTTTAGTCTCAATAATTAACGCCATTTCAATAAGGATTTCCAATTTACGACCATAATATACAACCATCTGAACTTAAGCTGCTGTTTGTACGTAAAAACGAAAAACGACCACCAAAAGTTACTAAAGTGTTGCCGTTTAAAAAAAAAA